CGCATACCATGACACACCACAACATGGCATAACAGAGCACCACATCATATGTCATGAGAGAAAAATCCACAGCACAGCACAGCAACACATCACACACCACTCCCTGCCATGACAACTCATACCTGGACCCATCGCAGCGTAATAGGTTTTACGTAGCAACGCATAACATCGCATAGCACCATAGCCATTGACATTTGTGGTCACGCAAAACATCGCATACCACCACGCCTCACAACACAACAGCACATAGCATACTATGACGCACCATGACAGAACGTATCATGTCATAGCATACGTCGAAGCTTTCGGTGGGGATCGTTCCAGGACCTCTGGGGGGTCTTCTTTGGGTCGCCTTCAGGCGTTTGGTGAGTGTTTGGCGCCGCTCGGGGCTCTCGCCTGGCCGTCCGGCCGCCCTTCGGACCGATTTGGGCTTGCCGGCCAGGCCCAGCAGGGGCGTCCCAGGAGCGCTGGAAAACACGTGGAACCTTCTGCAAGGGTGTCCAGGGGTCTCCAGCGCCACGGGTCCGAGGGGATCCATGGGGTCCGTTTCTTGGGGGAAAATATATGTGTGTAGCGCCGATTTGGATGACGATGAGGAGGAGGAGGAGGAGGAGGAGGAGGAGGAGGAGGAGGAGGAGGAGGAGGAGGAGGGAAGGAGGAGGAGGAGGAGGAGGAGGAGGAGGAGGAGGAGGAGGAGGAGGAGGAGGAGGAGGACAAGGAGGAGGAGGAGGAGGAGGAGGAGGAGGAGGAGGAGGAGGAGGAGGAGGAGGAGGAGGAGGGGGGGCGGAGGAGGGGAGGAGGGGGAGGGGGAGGAGGATGAGCAGAAGGGGGAGGAAAGACGGCAACGACAGCAGAACATGTGGGCCCAGAGCAGGATTCCGCCCTTGCCCGCCTGCCCCCCGCGAGGCGTTTGCCGCGGGCAGCCACGCGGATTCTGTGACCCGGCGACTGGCGCCGTCCCACTCCTGCCACGCATTTTGCAACGTCGAACACAACACGTCCATGTTGAAAGGGCATCGGCGGTGGTCTTGGAATGCCTTGCCCCCTCCCCGGATCCTGACCCCCGGAGGTCCCTGGAGGTCCCCAGACGTCACTGGAGGCCCGCGTCGTGGCCTGGCAGGTGCCACAGGCAGAATCCTCCGAACGCCTCGCCCTCGCCACCCTCGCGGGTCGAGGGGGGCAAAGCTCGGCCGTCGGCCCTGCGTTGCTGCAAGCAGGCCGAGCGGGAGGGCCCTGGGCCTGGCGCTCCTTTCGTCGGGCTGGCGTTGAGACGGGCATGTCCCTCTGCAGGAGGGAAATTCAAAGATAACAGATTACCCCAGTGCGACCCTACCTAGAAGTTGGAGCCCCTAGGAAAGCAGCAGGTTCTATGCTATGCTATACGATGCTATGCTATGCTATGCTAAGCTGTGCCTAGCTATGCTATGCGATGTCATGCTGCGATGTGCTGTGTTAAGCTGTGACATGACATGATATGCTATGCTAAGCTGCGCTATGATATGCTATGCTATGGTATGCTATGATGTACTAGACTATACTATGATATGCTCTGCTATGATATGCTATGCTATGCTATGCTGCGCTATGCTATGTTATGCTATTATGTGATTGGCTATGCTATGTTATGTTATGCCATGCTGTGCTATGCTAATGCAGCGCTGCGCTATGCTAAGCTAACCTAAGCTAAGCTAAGTTAGCCCTAGAGGCAGAGCCTAGGTAGGGAATTCCACCCATGCTAATCACCCGAACAGAAAACTAAACTGGCAACGCGGTTGGCACACACGAGCGCCACAAAATACACCCACAGATCCGGGGCAGGAGGACCAGGAGCTGGATGACGGTGAGGATGACGAGGAGGAACAGGTGGCAGCGGCGGCAGTTGCGGCAGCGGCGGCGTCGCCCACGGTTCGTTTTTTGTTTGCTCTAGGCGGGGGGGACGACGACGACTGCGCTATGCTATGCTACGCTATGCTATTCTGCGCTCTGCTATGGTAAAGCTCAGCGAACCTAAGATGAAGGTGAGGTAAACTAAGATAAACTTGAGCTAAGATGAAGCTAAGCTAAGCTAGTATGAAATAAGCTAAGCTAAGATGAGATAAGCAACGCTAAGCGAAGGGGACGTAGCTGGGGGAACCGCGGGGCGGATACTGGGGGAACCGCCCGGGGCGCTTTCCACTTCCCGGCCCCTTTTCAACCCAGAGAGTAAGAACCCTTCCAGGCAGAGCGTAGGTAGGGACAAAAGCGACGGGGACGCTTTCATTTTTTTGTTGCCTGGACCATGTTTTTCTGTCTTTTTTTTGACCCCTTTCTGTATTTTTCCTCCATCCGCCTGTGGACGACATGCCCGACCTAATTAAGGCTGGCAGCCGGGGGGGGGGCGGGGGCGGGAGCGCTTCCCAGGGCAGGGGAGCTCAGGCCAAAGAGGGCAGGAGCAGCCACGCCAGGAGTGGGTGGCGTGCGCGGGGGGGAGGGGGGGGCACGCACAGAGCGAGCACGGCTGCCCTGGCTGCCAGGAGGAGGGGGAAGCCAGACCCCCTAGTGCTGTGAAGAACTCGCGACGGGATGTTTTTTTGTTTGTTTCTCGATGTTCGGCCTCTCGGGTCCCTTCCTGGGCCTCGGGACCTTCAGAAAAAAACAATTCAGGATGAAAAACCAGTCCCTGGGAACGGGTCCAGACCTCTGGGGGTCGACGTTGTGAAAAAAAACCGACGGGATGTTTTTTTTGTTTCTCGATTTTCGGCCTCCGGGGGGCCCTTCCCAGGGCTCTCGTGACCTTCAAGAAACGACTCGGGATGAAAAGCCGGTCCCTGGGAAGGGGCCCCGGCCTCTGGGGGTCGACGTGGTAAAAAAAAAAAAACACGACGTCGGAGGTATGGGGGCCTGGATGTGCGGAGCGGGCCGAACACCAGAGCCCCCCCCAATGAGCCGCAAGTTCACCGAGCGCGCTCCACTACTCGTAGAGTGCCTGCTCGCAAACGTCAGAAAAAAAACATATGTTTGTTTCGATGTGATTTACCGTCGATCCCCCGGGGCCCCCGAGGCGGATCCAGGCCATTTTGCGAGTAGCTACTTTGCGAGGAGTGGAGCGCGCTCGTCTGAAAGTGGTCCTTATGTGTCAGCTTCTTGGCTGTGTTCGCAGGGGTTTGGGTGTGCGGGGAGATGGCGGAGGACGGCTGCAGTGGGAGCCCATGCCAGGAAGCACCCTGCTTGCCTCCAGGGTGCCCCCTTTTTTTTGGGGGGGGGTCGCTGGTTCTGCGACAGGAGGCGCGACGTTCCTGCACAAGAGATGGGTGGACCTCCTGGTGTTCCGGGATTTGCGTTTCTCGTGGAAGGTTTCTTGTGGTCGAGCTGCCGCGCGAGCAGGGGGCAAGGAGGGAGGGCGGACAAAAAACAGTGCGGAGGCGGAGGCCGCGGGGAGCTGGCCGGGAGGGGGAGGAGTGGAAGGAGGCAGGGCTACGGAGTGCAGAGGACGGGGACGAACAGACGCAGGGTGACGTTCGCGTCGTGTCGACCAGCGACGGCCCCGCCGCCGCCGCCTGCGTTCAACGTTGAACGCCGCCAGCGACCCAGAATCGGGCGATGTTCAACGATCTTCCGTCTCGGAGACGGCCGATCGTTCAAGGTTGGGCGATCCGCGCGGTGTCAGGAACCAACGCTGGGGTCGACACGACACGAACCTGCAGTAGGACCGGGGACGAGGAGGGGCCCCGATTTCCCAAGCCAGCTCGCCAGCATTCGAAAGGATCGCCTCCGACAAGCTGGCGCATGCGGCTCCTACTTAATTATCTTCTTGCCGCTGCTGTTCTTTCGTCTTCTTCTTCTTCTCCTTCTCCTTCTCCTTCTTCTTCTTCTTCTTCTTATCATCGTTTTTGTTCGTATCATGAATAATATCATTATTATATTATTGTTGTGTGTCTTCGTCTCCTTCTCCTACTTCTGATCCTCCTCCTTCAAGTGGCCCCCATCGCACCTGTTCTGGGGCGTTTGTTGGGCAGGATTTCGCGGCGAATCCAGCCGTGGCGACGAAGGCTGCCCCCGAGGGCCATGAAAAGCAGGAGCGGGGGGAGTATTCACGAGGGAGAAAAACACAGACACAATTAATCGTCGATTCCCTCGGAAATGAGGGAAAATATGGGAAGTGGGGGGGAAGACAAAATTCCCAGAACATAGGTGTGTGTGTGTGTGTGTATTTACTTGTGTGCCCCAAGGCGCCTTCAACCATGGCCGACTTCTGTAATTGGCCCAGCTTTGGCGAACAGTAGCCGCAGCGCCACACGGTAACGTCTTGTGATGTGCTTCGTGGAAAACAGCATCAGCCGCAGATGCCAGGGAAGGCAGCAAAGGGTGCGGCGGGAAAAGCAGGGGCCCGCAGGGCAGCGCAGAAGCCGTGCCGACTGCAATCAAGGAGGACGAGGAGCAGGAGAACCCCCTCCTCCTCTTCTAGGGGGCCACAGGCGAACCCTACCCCTGCCCCCCCCGAGCGAAGTGAACCCCACCCTCCCCCTCAAAAATCGTTGGGGGTAGGGGTAGGGTTCACATGTGGCCGCCTGTCCTCCCCCTCCCCTTCACCTTCCCTTCTGCCTGACAGTACGCTGCCCCTGACTGTTTATCTATGACCCTCGGCATGTGCGAGTGCCCCCTCGTGATGTTTCTGCGCACGCGCGCGCACGCAGACAGTCGACTATCCAGCTCACTGATCCTGGCTGGGCCGATCCTGGGCCCAGGATCGGTGAGGTGAATCCTTGATGTCCCCCCGGCTCCTCCCCCCCCCTTTAAGGGGGTTCATTCAAGCTCTGGATGGGGCGAAGTCGCTCCTGAGCGTTCCGGAAGTGCTCTGGATCGGTTGCGGCGCCCGATGCGTCCTCCAGACCCGCCAGGTCTCAGAGATTCCCGATCCAATCACATCATTTGCATTTGTCCTCATCTTGCCTTCGTCGTAGGTTGGTCGGGGGGGGAGACCCGATGGCCGCGGAATAGACATCGAGATCCTCGCCCGCCAGGTGTACGAGCAGCCTCATCCCGGCGATGACACGCTCGGGGCCGACAGCCTGACCTTGCCCGACACGGCGAAGGAGCCGACGGCATTACGGGGGAGGCGGGGTCCGCGGATGATGAGCAGAAGATAAAGGAGGGGGAGGAGGAGGGAGGAGGAGGAGGAGGAGGAGGGAGGAGGAGGAGGAGGAGGAGGAGGAGGAGGAGGAGGAGGAGGAGGAGGAGGAGGAGGAGGCCGAGAAAGATGAGCAGCAGGAGCAGTGGACGGACGAGGAGGAATAGGGTTTTTGACATCCACAGCATGGTTGTTAGTGGCCATGAGGATGATGAGGAGAATGAGGAGATGATGAGGATAATGAAAAGGACGAGGAGGAACAAGGAGGAATGATGGTGGTGGTGATGATGGTGATGGTGATGGTGATGGTGATGGTGATGGTGATGGTGGTGGTGGTGGTGGTGCAGATGATGATGACGATGATGACTATGATGATGCTGCTGATGATGATGATTATGATGATGATAATGATGATACTGATGCTGATGCTGATGATGGTGATGATGATGAGGATGGTGATGATGATGGCAATGTTGATGTTGATGCTAATGGTGGTTGCGATGATGCAGCTGCTGATAATCATTATGACGATGCTGATAAGGAGGATGCTGACGATGATGCTACTGCTGCAGATGATGATGGTGATGATGATTATGATGCTGCTGATGATGATGCTGATCATGCTGCTGATGATGATGCTGATGATGCTGATGATGATGATGATGATGATGATGATGATGATGCTGATGCTGATGCTGAATATGATGATGATGATGATGATGATGGTGATGATGATGATGATGATGATGATGATGATGATGATGATGATGATGATGATGATGATGATGATGATGATGATGATGATGATGATGATGATGATGCTGCTGCTGCTGCTGATGATGATGATGGTTATTATGATGATGATTATTCTTTTCTTTTAGTTTTATTATTATCATTCTTCCCCTCTTATCATTATGATTATGATTCTTATTCTCATTATGGATGTACAGCTCAGCTTACGGGAGTATGGCGGGGAAGCAACGAGTAGCGCGACGGCTTCTCCGCAGCTGTTTGGGTTCAAGCTGCCTAAAACGGCTTTGGGCGGCGCCCACCGACCTGCCACGGCGGCCCTGGAGTAGAGGCTTGCCTCCGACTCAGGGTTACCGAGGCAGCGCGCGGCGGGCGATACCCCTCATCCCGACTGGCGGGCTGCTGCGCGGCGGGGGCGCTGCTTGGCTGGGCCCAAATACCCCGGCCCGCCCTGCGGGGTGTTGGTTGCCCTTCGGGGCAAGAGGCGGGCGCGCAGGCGCGCAGAGGAGGCGCCAGTGAGCGCCCCCGCCTGGAGTCAAGAGCCACGCAGGGGGCAAAGGGGCGTGGGCGCAGGCGTGGGCCCCGCTGGGGCCGAAGGGCCGCCCCCAGAGGCGCTCTGGGGCTGAGCGCCATGGTCAGCAAGAGGCCGGCGCCCGCGAGCCCTCGGCGGTCGCAGACGCCACCGCGAGTCGGGCGTCTCAGGCTGCGGGCCAGGCTTGCTGCGGCCGAGCCCTCGGGGTCGACCGCCCTGGCGAAGCCAGCCGAGGCGGCCAGGACGGGCGAGCCCGAGGCTGCCGCGGCGGTCGAGGCAACCGCGAGGCGCAGGCCCCGCGGCGCACGGGGCACGCGCAAGCAGCCAGCGCAGGACCGCGCCGAAGGTGCCGAGCCCCTCCTGAGCCCGAAGCGGTCCTCATTCCAGCGTCTTGGCTGTATCACGAGGGTCGGGGCGTCGGGCATTTACCCTGTATGGAAGAACTACAGACACTGGGTGTCTGTGTGGATTGGCACCCGCTGACGCCCCCGCCGCCCACGATTTTCAAATGGGGCCAGAGCAGATGGAGTCAGAGGATCACGCTGCATCGCCGATACACTGGCGAAACGGCTCGACCTGGAGCCCGTTCTTCTCCATCCCGCCGTCGATGATGCATCGCCGAAGCGTCGCTATTCTCCAACGCCATCTGCTCTGGCCCCGTTTGGGAGGCCTTTCTGGCGGCTTCTGTTTTTCCCAACCATCCTGAGGTAATGGGTCCCCGTTTTGAGGAGACAGTGCCCCGCGTCCTCATCCTCTCCTCCTCACCCTCCTCTCCCCCCTTACTGCTGCTCTCCGCATCAGCCTTCATGTTCGGCGCACCCTCACACGTTTCGTGCCCCTTTGCAGAGCCTCGCCGAAGGCCCCAGTAGCAAGGTCCAAATGCGGATCCCCGCCCATTCTGGCACACCCCTCACCCGTGTCGCGGCCCCATAGGGAGCTCCACCGAAGGCCCCAGTGGTACAGTCCACATGCGGTTCCCTGCCTATGTCGGCACACCCGCCCGATAGGGAGCTCCACCGAAGGGCCTAGTGGCACAGTCCATATGCGTTTTTTTCCGCCGATGTCAGCCTCTCACACGTTTCGTGGCCCCATAGGGAGCTCCACCGAAGGCCCCAGTGGCACAGTCCACATGCGGTTCCCCGCCCATGTCGGCACACCCCTCACGTTTCGTGGCTGCTCCACCCTAGGTTCCAGGTGCAAGTCCATATAAGTCCCCCCGCCCCATTCCGTCCCCAACACGCCTCACCCGTTTCGTGGCCCCATAGGAAGCTTCACCGAAGGCCCCAGTGGCAAAGTCCACATGCGGTTCCCCGCCTATGTCGGCACACCCCTCACACGTTTCGTGGCTGCTCCACCCTAGGTTCCAGGTGCAAGTCCATATACGTCCCCCCGCCCCAATCCGTCCCCAACACGCCTCCCGAAGGCCCCAGTGGCAAAGTCCACATGCGGTTCCCGCCCATGTCGTCACACCCCTCACACGTTTCGTGGCTGCTCCACCGGAGGATCCAGTGGCAAAGTCCACATACGTCCCCCCGCTCCATTCCGCCCCACACCCTTCACCCGTTTCGTGTCCCTATGGGGAGCTCCGCCGACGGCCCCAGTGGCGCTGTCCACATACTTCCCCCCGCCCCATCTGGGCACACCCCTCACATGTTTCATGCGCACGGCTCCAGTGGCCGCGGCTGCATGCGCCTCCCCCATCCAACCCAGCGTTTCGAAGTCCCGTAGGGAGCTCCACCGAAGGCCCCAGTGGCCGCGGCCATATGTTTCCCCCCCCCCCACCCCACCCAGTACAGCGTGTTGTGGCCTTACAGGGAGCTCCACTGAAGGCTCCAGTGGCCGTCGCCGCGAGCACCGGAGTCCTCTTTGGCGACGTTTGCATGCTGATTCCGGGCCTACGTCGGCGCACCCCTCGCACATTTCGTGGCCCCATGGGCAGCTCCAGCTAAGGCCCCAGTGGCACAGTTCGCATGCGCTCCCCACCGACACCATTGCGGCACACGTCTCGCGCGTTTCGTGCCCCCAGACGGAGTTCCACCGAAGACGGTAACCACAACGCGGTATCCAGAATTACATTTGGTTGGGTCCTTCGCCAGGATAGCTTCCTTCCAGCGGCCATAACTGTGGCATCCTGCTGCCGCGCATCCGGTCGGGGGGGCCGTCGGGGCCCTCCTGGAGGAGTTTCTTGGAGGCCATTGGTCAGATGAGAGGACGATCCCGAATCAGCGTCGCCCACTCAGAGCCCGAGCGATCGTGGCTTGAGCCCTCTGAGAGCGCTCTGGAGGTGCTCTTGGGGGCCTTCGGGGTCCTTGCGTCTGAGGCCAAAAACGCATGTACACGTACGCGGTCAGCTTCTGTTGGCACGCTTTTTGAACGCGTTCATTCGTGCACCTGGGACCGTGGAGGGCGTACATGTATTTATTATGCCTTTGCTCACTCATCCTGGCCCTTCTGGGCCCCTAGACCCCCAGGGGCCATCATGGAGATCTCATGAGGCCTCGAAGTCCATCGGAGGCGAAACGGCGAAAAGGCAAACGTCATGTCATACATTTTTTAAAAGAAACAACTAGCGACAGGCTTTCAATGATCTGGACCTCTCGGGGGCATCCCTGGGAGGCTCCACGGCCTCCTCGCGACGTCTTGTGTGGCGTTCTCGGGACCTCTTGGAGGCATGCTGGAGGCAACCTGGGCCATCCTCCGCCAGTTGGGAGACTATCACGGGCAATCCAGGGTCCTTGGGGCCATCTCGGGCAGTTCAGGACGCTCCAACTGGTCGCGATGTCCCCCCGTCCTGGGGCGTGTGGAGGGAGGATCCGTGAAAAGTTCCCAGTGACGAACGGTCAACACGCGCCCATACCCATAGGGGAGACGGCATGAGCTATGGGTGCGTGTTGTCGGATAGGGGTCCCCGCTCGAACGGGAGCCTCCTCAGGGGTCCGACAACCCGCACCCATACCCATAGCCAGTCCTTCTCCCTCCGACCTCCCTATGGGTATGGGTGTGTGTTGTTCGTTCGTCGCCCAGGAGGGGAGGGAGGGGGTTCTTCTGGCAGTGCCCGTGCCCCGACCCCTCCGAGCTCCCCACGCCCAGGCGGGCCCCGGCGGGACTTTTCTGGGCCCCCCAGTGCGGCCCTCGGGGCCGCGGCTGGACGCGACTCCTGAGGACTGGTCGGGCTGCTGTCCGGGAGGGATGCTTGGCATCGCTCGGACGTGTGCATTTTTCCTTTGGCGAGGGCCATCGAGAAGCATCCTTGATGATTTGGCGAAAAAGCCACGCACGAAACCGAAAAAACACAGGAAATTGACGTCCGAGCGATGGCCAGGATGACTCGCTCGGAGATGCCACGACGCGTCGGCCGGGCGCCCCGCTGTTCTGCTTGGCCAGATGTGTTTACCCCCGCTCTCGCCTCTTTTTCTCACCTTTTCCCGAATGGGCCCCCCCTCCCGCCAAGGTCCTTGTCGGGCGGGAGGGTCAGGAAAGGTGCGCATGGCTGCAGGAGCTCCCTTCGACCGCCATGAGAGTGAGTGAGTGAGGGAGGGATGCGAGGACCGATTTTGAGGGAGACGGGCGGGCCGACCGGGCAGCTCGGGAGACTCGTTGAAACCCGCCTCAACTCTGGTTCCGGCCCCTGACAGTGCTCCTCCAGTGGTCCAGGCCCTCTTTGGTACATCTCAGCCGTCTCCCGCCCGTTGCAGTCATTGGCTGGCTCCGCTAACGCTCCAGATGGCCGCGGTCGGGACAGAAGGAGTGGGGACGATGACTGACAGCATACTGGCAGCATGTCTACACGACCACCCGTAGGGAGATAAGGAGGTTCGGGGGGGGAACTTACCAACTGAGGGCAACGGCGATGATCGTGATTGCGGCGATGCTGGTGATGCGCTCACGAGTCGGCGACGATGCAAGACGACGATGCTGACGACAGTGCATGATGGCAGTGGGCCAGCACACTGGCGACACTGGCGAATAGCCATGACGCCTGGCAGAGCCCAGCCTGGTTGTATCGACCTCGATGCTGATCTCACTGTGGGTCGCTCCGTCGACCTCCCCGTGTCGATCTCTTCATCGATCCCGTGGCTGAGCGGTCGATGTCCCAATCGAACTCGGCCAATCAGTGTCAGTTTCCCGACCTCATGGGGCCGATGTTATCGTCTGTTTCGCTCCATCGATCTCACTATCGACCCCGTGCCTGGTGGTGGTGAATCGTTTGGCGCTGTCGGTTCTTTTCGATCCCGCCCCCCCCAAATGTGACCATCCTAGCGATCCTGGAAACCGCCTCGAGAATATCGGGGCATCATCGAGGCACCACCATGCCATCGGGACACCTTCGAGGCACCGTCGGGGACACATCGGGACAGGGTACCATCGGGACACCAATCGAAACGCCAACCAGTACAACACCAGGACACCACCAGGACACCATGGGAACACTAATCGGGGCACCTAACGGGACACCGCCGGGACACCATTGGGACACCATCGAAACAAAACAGAAGCACCACTGGGGCACCAGCAAAACACCAATCGGGACACCAAATCGAGAAACCCACGGGACACCAATCGGGACATCAATTGGGACACCGACTGGACACCGACGGGACACCGACGGCGGGACACCGACAGGACACCGACGGGACACCAACGAGACACAGACGGGACACCGACGGGGTACCGACGGGACGCCGGGACACCGACGGGACACCGACGGGACACCGACGGTCGACGGGACACCGACGGGGCACCGAGGGGACACCGACGGGACACCGGCGGGACACCGACGGGGCACCGACGGGACACCGACGGGACACAACGGCGGGACACCCCTGGCCACCGTCCGCGGACACCGACGGGACACCGACGGGACACCACGGCAGGACACAAGGGTGATCCGCCCTTGCCACAGCGGAGTCATTCCCCTCACCCGCTCACGCAGCTTCGCCTCGCCCGCACGCGCGGCACGAACCCGAAACCGAAGCCGCTTTCCCGCAGGGGGGCTCTCCCTTCCTCTTCGATCTCGCCCCCCGATTCTGGACAGGAGTCGTTGTCGGGTGTTTCGCCTCGAGCGTTTCGTCCGCTCGTGGCGGTCCTCGTCTGCGCAGCAGCGCCCGCGGGCAGCCGGTGCTGGCCAGCGCCGCAGCCGTGGGGCCGCGTGCCCGCGACGAGCCTCTCCAGGCGGGGCCCGTCCCGCAGGAGCCCGGCGAAGCGCCCCGTTCGCCCCCGCGTCGCCGAGGGGAGGATGAGGATGAGGATGAGGATGAGGATGAGGACCAGGGGGGGAGGGAGGCGGAGGAGGAGGAGGAGGAGGGGGGAGGAGGAGGAGGTGGGGGAGGAGGAGGAGGGGGAGGAGGAGGAGGAGGAGGAGGAGGAGGAGGAGGATGATCATAGTGGTATTAACAATAGTAATAGGGCTGTTGTTGTTGTTGGTGATGGATGATGATATGATGAATGATGATGATGATGATGGATGATGAGATGATGAGGATGAGGATGAGGATGAGATGATGATGATGATGATGATGAGCTGATGATGATGATGATGATGATGATGATGATGATGATGATGATGATGATGATGATGATAGTGGTGGTGGTGATTATGATGCTGCTGATGATGCTGCTGCTGATGATGATGATGATGATGATGATGGTGGTGGTGGTGGTGGTGGTGGTGGTGAGGAGGAGGAGAGGAGGAGGAGGAGGAGGAGGAGGAGGAGGAGGGAGATGGGAGGAGGAGGAGGAGGAGGAGGAGGAGGAGGAGGAGGAGGAGAGGAGGAGGAGGAGGAGGAGGGAAGGAGAGGAGGATAGGGGGGGCCTCTCCACCCGCAACCATGCTTGGGCCACTGGTGTTAAGTCGGGCATGTTCCTCTACAGGAGGAATATTGAGAGACAAAGTTCTTTGCCGTGTAGCGCACGGCAGGACGCCAAACTTACAAAGAGAAAGTCTAGCTCTGGTCTGGTTGGTCTGGTTGGTCTGGTTTGATCTGGTTTGAGCTTCGTCTTGCAGCCTTAGCTTAGGTATGGTCTGGTTGGTCTGTTCTCGTCCATTGGTCTGGTCTGGTTGGTCTGGTTTGGTCTGGTTGGTCTTGGGCGTCGTCTTGCAGCCTTAGCTTAGGGTCAGGGCAGGAGTGGTTTAGGGGAGGTCCAGCGAGGCAGCGCCAACCATCACTACGATCGACATGCAGTTGTTTGTGCATTGCAGGTTTTGTTGCTTTGCAGCTTTTTTGCATTGCCGTTTTTTTGCATCTGATCTGGCTAGTCTGGTTGGTCTGGTTTGAGCTTCGTCTTGCAGCCTTAGCTTAGGATCCGAGCGAGAGTGGTTTAGGGGAGGCCTGGCGAGGCAGCGCCAACCACCACGACGACCGAAACGCAATATTTGTTTCCACTGCAGTTTTTTGTTTGCTTTGCGTTTTTTGGTTGTATTGCAGTTTCTGTTTGCATCTGGTTTGTCTGGCGTGGTTGGTCTGGTTTGAGCATTGTCTTGCAGCCTTAGCTTAGGATCCGAGCGAGAGTGGTTTAGGGAATGTCTGGCGAGGCAGCGCCAACCACCACGACGACAACCGAAATGCAATATTTTTCATGGCAGTTGTTTTTTGCTTTGCAGCTTTTTTGGCATTGCAGTTTTTTTGCATCTGGTCTGGCTGGTGTGGTTGGTCTTGTTTTTAGCTTCGTCTTGCAGCCTTAGCTCAGGAACCGAGCGAGATTGGTTAAGGGAAGTTCTGGCGAGGCAGCGCCAACCACCACGACGACCGAAACGCAGTATTGCTCCATTGCAGTTGTTTTTGCTTTTCAGTTTTCTTGCATTGCATTTTTTTTGCATCTGGTCTGGCTGGTCTAGTTGGTCTGGTTTGAGCATTGTCTTGCAGCCTTAGCTTAGGATCCGAGCGAGAGTGGTTTAGGGAGGTCCGGCGAGGCCGCGCCAACCACCACGACGACCGAAACGCATTCTTTTTTTCCTCTGCAGTTTTTTGTTTGTTTTGCAGTTTGTTTGCATGCAGTTTTTGTTTGCATCTGGTTTGTCTGGTGTGGTTGGTCTGGTTTGAGCATTGTCTTGCAGCCTTAGCTTAGGATCCGAGCGAGAGTGATTTAGGGAGGTCTGGCGAGGCAGCGCCAACCACCACTACGATCGACCGAAATGCAGTTTTTTAAACATTGCATGTTTTGTTGCTTTGCAGTTTTTTTTGCATTTGCAGTTTTTCTGCATCTGGTCTGGCTGGTGTGGTTGGTCTTGTTTTTAGCTTCGTCTTGCAGCCTTAGCTTAGGATCCAGGCGAGAGTGGTCCGAGCGGCTTGCTGGTTTGGCTGGTGTGGTTGGTCTACCTGGCCGGTCTGACTGAGCCGTCTGGCTAGTCTGCTTGGTCGTGGCCGTCGTTCTCGTCCTCGCCCCCGACTTCCTCGTCGTCGACGTCGTCGTCGTCGTCGTCGTCGTCGTCATCGTCCTGCCCCTTGCATCGCCGCAGCTGGGGCTGGAACCGAAAGCGCTGCTGCGTCAAGTCCGGCTGCGGCGGAAAAGGAGGTGGGGAGCGAGGGAACATCAGTAACCATATCAGTTCTTATGCCCCCAAAGCAAAGTAAGGCGCTGGGGCATAAGAACTTTTCGCCCCGAGCGGCTTGGATAGTCCAAAAATCGTCAGGGGCGATTTCTCTAGTAGTGGAACTTTTTGGAGCATTCCTAAGTTTCCATCCCACATCCGCTTGTCGGAGGACATGCCCGACCTAACACTGGTGCCACTCGGGTACCCCCTCGGGAGGACAACGGCCTGCAGCTCTTCCGGCCCCAGCGGCACCACACGTCCGCGTCCTCGTGGCTCTCGACGCAGCAGGAGCCGCGGCCCCCTCCCCGGGCGCGGGGTCTTCCCCTCCCGCCGGGGCCGCGCGGGAGCGCGAGGAGCGGCCGCGCGCCGCGGCTCCGCGGGAGCGCACGGCTGCCCGGGGCCCCCTCCACGGCGGGCTGCCTTTCCCCATCGGATGTAATTCAAGAGCCGGCCTCCCAGACGGGGTCCGAGGACGACAACGACGACGAGGGCGACGACGCCGACGCGGACGACGTTGTCGTCGTCGTCGTCGTCGTCGTCGTCGTCGTCGTCGTCGTCGTCGTCGTCGTCGTCGTCGTCGTCGTCGTCGGGGCATCGCGCCGCAGCTCCGATGCGCCGGCGATGCGGCTCGATGCGGAGCCCCTGCCCCTGGGGTTGCCCGCACGGGTGCGAGGATCAAGCAGTGGCGAAGCGTCCTGGCGCGCCTATAGGCCCACCAAACAATGTGAAGAACCCTTGTGGTTTCTACGACATGATCGTAGGACATGTCAGGCTGGGACTGTTTTGTTTTAGAACATTGGGCTCACGTTCTAAGAACATTGTTCTTGTTCTGATAACTTTTATTGAGGTTTCTGACAACATGTTGTGGTAGGCCTACAGGACTGCCGGGACGGTCGGTCCCTGCTCAAGGCCGAGGAAGGCAAAGAAACACGCAGACACCGTTCATCGCCGAAGATGGGAAGTGGGGGGGCCGACGAAACTCCAGAAGACATGGGACATCTGGGGAACCCTGGGATCTGTGCCTGTGTCCGTGTCGTTGTGTGTCCCTGGGGCCCCCATCAGAGAGGAGCAGCCGCGCGCTCCCCCCCCGCGGAGGCCCCCGGGCGGCGGCCCCGGCGCGGCGCGAGGCGCCCCGGCGCGAGGCTGCGGCGCGCGCCTGGGGGCCCTGCCTGCCGCCGCGCCCGGGCCCGCGCCGCCAGCGGCCTCCCCTCCGCGGGGGGCCCGGTGCCGGACCCCCTCGCGTGGTGAAGCGATATCGCGGCGGGAAGTGTTGCGCTCCTTTCGGCCTCCGGGGGCCCTCGTTGGGCCTCGGAGCCGTGAAGGAACGATTCGGGATGAAAAGCCGGTTTCCGCGGATCTGCGTGGGGGGTAGCGCCGAATTTCAGAAATGTGGCAAATCCCATGTGTTTTTGGACCCTGACCCCGCGGATCTGCGTGAGGGGTGGCACCGAATTTCAGAAATGTGGCAAATCCGGCTTTCGGGGGGGCACGTCGTCACGAAAAAAAAGCGCGACGTCGGGGGTCTGGGGTGCAGCTGCAGCCCCGCCTGCGGGTGGCGAGGGGCCGAGATATGCGGGCAGGGCTTGCGTCCATATATCGGGCAAGCGCAGGTTTCGAGTAAAAGCCGGAGTGCGGGTGTGCCGCCGCTTTTTGGCGAGGCGCGTCTTGGATGTTGACGGTCTGGTTTTCGTTTGCAGCGGGAGCTCGTGTCAAATTTCGGATCGAGTCTCGTCATTTTCATGATGGTCCCGTGAGGCCAACCGAGTCCCCCCTACCCGAGTCTTACGTCTCCCCGGCCATATCCATTGCAGCCTGGAGTTTCGGGCTCCCTTCCCCAGAATGCCGAGGCGCACTGGACACTGACAAGAATCTGGCCCCTGCTAGGGGCTCGAAATTTACCCATATCCAGTGCGCCTCGACCTTCTGGCGCCCCTTCCGCGAACGTCCAAGGCGCCCTGGATATGGACATCGAGATTGCTCGCGCCAGAGATCCGAGGACAGCATCTTCAGTGGAAAGAGTGGTCCCAGAGGCCTGGTCAGACCGGTACGATTTCTTCCGTCGGGCGGTTCTTCTCCTGGATTTCGGCCTCCATGGCCCGTGCTCGGGCCCGGGGGCCATCAAATGATTGGCCTGTTTTCCACCACCACCACCATAAGTTGGAGGGGGAGGGGGTCCTCCTCCTCTTCTTCGTCCTCCTTCTCCTCGTCCTCCTCCTCCTCCCCCCTCCAACTTATGGTGGTGGTGGCGGAAAACACGCCCATCAATCAAACATGGATCCGGGAGGACGACCCCCCGCCGGGGATGATGATGTTCCAGCCTACTTTAGCCTCGATCACCAGAGATCATTTCGAGCACCAAGAAGGTACTGGAACTGGAGGGCTTTCACGCGTCGGACCCTGGGAGGCGATACCTCGCTTGACACTGTTCCGAGACGTCTCTGGGCGCTCGAAAATCTTTCAGGGATGTGGTCCTGAAATACGATGGGAGCAACCAGGATCGGGACCCCTGGGGCCGCGGATTGGAAAAATCATGTCGGCGGATGTCTGGGTCTGCCCCGACACTCTGTTGACGCGGCCCAGGACGGGCCTGTGGGCCAACCGTGAGAAAGCAACCCAAACCTCCGACGTCTTGAGCACATCATCATGGCGGGTACCTTTTTCGTAATTTTTGTTTTGCCTTCTCTGGAAGGAAGGAAGGAGCAACAATAATAATGGAGGAGGATGAAAAGGAAGAGGAGCAGGAGGAGGAGGAGGAAGAGGAGGAGGAGGTGGAGGAAGGAATGAAGGAAGGATGGAAATAATAATGGAAGGAAGGAAGACAGGAAGTGGTGAGCCCCTTGAGGAGTGGGGAATGAAGGAAGGAGGGGACAAGGAGGTGAGTATGAGAGAGCAGGAGGTAATTAGGAGGTGGAGGAGGAGGAGGAGGTGGAGTGAAGGACGAGGGATGAAGAATGAGGGATGAGTGAGAGGAGGAGGAGGAGGGAGGAAGGAGAAAGGAGGAATAATGAGGGAGGATGGAGAAGGAATGATGTGGAGGGATGGGGCGGAAGGAAGGAAGCAGGGAGGAGAAAGAGAGGAGGAAGGACGGAGGAGGAAGGAGGGAAGAGGAACGAAGGAGGAAGAGGAGGAGGAGGAAGAGGTGGAGGAGGAGGAGGAGGAGGACCGCGGTGGCGGCAAGAGGGCAGTGCCCGGTCGCCAGCTGCACGCGCACGTCTATGAGCGCGCACGCGCGCCTCATCATCACCTCCGCGTCCGCCGTCGGCCTCTGCTCCTCTCTCCTCCTGCTCCTCTTCCTTCTCCTCTCCTTCTCCCTCTCCCTCTCTCCCTTCTCCTCTCCCTCTCCTTCGCCCTCTCCCTTCTCCTCTCCCTCTCCCTTTCCCTTCTCCTCTCACTTTTCCCTTCTCCTCTCCCGCTCCCTCTCCCACACCCCCTCCCGCATGTACAGGGCGACGACTAGGCCCGCGTGGAGGTGCGCATGGGGGTCCCCGTGTACATGCATGTGCGCATATATAGGTTTGCGCTGGCATGACGTGTGGAACACGTGAGCAGGGTTGCCTACTCGTCGGTCTATTGCCAATGTGCCTCTGCTGTCGTGCTCCCTTCTCATCCAACTCATTCTGGCCGCAGTCCCAGCGGGTCCTCATGAAGAGCGTCCGCGAGGCCGCTGAGTCTGCTGTTAGGCTAGCTTGGCCAGGTCAGCAGCAGCATTAGCATTAGCAGCAGC